AGAGGCGCCCTGGTGAACAGAGCATCTCTGATCCCTTGCTGCATCCCCGTAATGAATTTGTAGGCAGCCACAAGATCACCTCTCAGCCTTCTCTTGCGGAGGCTGAAGAGGTCCGGGTCCCTCAGTCTCCCCTCATAGGGCTTGTCCTATCAGCCCCTAACCATACGAGTGGCCCTCCTCTGGACCCTCTCATGTCTATCAACATCCTTCTTGAAATACAGTGCCCAAAACTGGACATGGTACTTTAGCTGTGGTCTGACCAATGCCGCATAGAGGGTGATGCATGATAAAGTGCATTTAGCTTTGCTGATGATTTCGTCACACTGACGACATGTTCCTCTTGGAGTCCACTATGACTCCGAGGTCCCTTTCCACTTCTGTGCCGCTGAGAGGTTTCACTGCCCAGCCAGTAAGTGTGCTGGATATTTTTGCACCCTAGGTGCATCACTCTGCACTTGTCCTTGTTGTACTGCATCCTATTGTGTACTGCCCACTTCTCTAACCTGTCCAGGTCTGCCTGCAATTGTTCCCTACCCTCTGGAGTGTGCACTTCACCCCACAATTTAGTATCGTCTGCAAACTTGGACAGAGTACACTTCACACCCACATCCAAGTCACTGATGAAGATATTGAAGAGCACAGGTCCAAGGACCGAACCCTGCAGGACCCCACTACCCACATCCTCCCAGGTCTATACCGACCCATCTACTACCATTCTCTGGGTGCGACTGCTAAGCCAATTTGCCACCTACTGGACCATGTAAACATCTATGTCACAGCCTCTTAATTTATTTATGAGAATAGGATGAGCTACCGTATCGAAGGCCTTGCTTAAGTCCAAGAAAATGACATCTGCCTCTACTCCTGCGTCTAAGCATTTTGTGACCCTGTCATAAAATGAAATCAGATTGGTCATGCATGATCTACCTGCTACAAATCCATGCTGGTTTCCCTGCTGCATTATTTTTCCCACTGGACTCCCACAAATATGATCCTTCATAATCTTTTCAATCCTTCATAATTTTTTCAGGTTCTCAGCCCTGTTAGACTCAAGGCACCCCTTGGAAAATGCCAGCTCTTAGCTTTTCCTTGTTTTTTGACTATGAAAAATAATAGAGCAGTTCTTTTGTTGCAGAGAACGTAGAAAGACCATAACGGGTGAGAGTGCTTTTGACATTATTCATTCCTATTTGAAATGTCTGGGCTTATCTTGTGAATCATGTGTAGGTGTTTGCATACCTAACAGTGCTAAGGCATCCTTAAAAAGATTTTATGGCATCCCACAGTGCTGCAGCACACTGGTTGAAGATCACTGTGCTAGACAGATGAGCATAAAGTGGCTTCTCTTCCCCTTGGGAGTTAAACATTCTGTTTGCGTAGTGATCTCAAAACAGAAATAATTTCTGGAAAAGTAACAGAGTGCTTCTCTAAGGAGTAAGATAAAAATAGCTGGAAGAGATCATTAATAGGAATGTATTTAAAGTCCACAGTATGAATCAAGCTCTGCACACTCTGTCTCATAGTGGAAGGACAAGGAAATATTTCCAGAAAATGAAAGCTACCAAACTTAATAAAACAAAACCAGTGTGAGTTTTTTGTTTTGTTTTTTTCCATAATGTATGATTAATCTACAGAACTCACTGTCACCAAACAGTGCTAAGGTTTAATTAATTAGGTTAACTTAATTAGGTTCCAAAGAGGATTGTTATGGTTCCTGAGGACACTCTTGGATATGTTTAGGTAATAAAGGAGATAATCCTGCTTTTTTTTGTCCAGAAGCCAATGAAATATCAAAGAAGTTAGTAATAAGCTTAGCCTAAAATGAAATTTATTCCAAAGGTATCACTATAAAATGTCTTGCACCTTCCTTCCTTTTCTCCTGTTGACTCTAGTCACTATATAGGCCTGACTGCTGTATATTCTTGCTGATTATTAGATCATTGTCTGAGGTTGCACTGCAGGAAAAAAACAAACACATTTGATTCTCTGGGATCCTGAACAATTTGAAGTGTTTCTATATGTAGAGGAGTTAGGTGCTAGTAAACAGAAAGAAAAATGGGGGAGGGGGCATTGTTCAACATATTTTTCATAGATTTCATAGACATTAGGGCTGGAAGGGACCTCGGAAGATCTCTCTCTTGTCACTACATATATAGGAGGAGGAGAGAGAGCACTGTTGAGCATAAATAGTCCCAGAGCAGCAGAGCAACACAGAATGTACTTCCTTGGTAGGGTCTGTACGTGGCTTGCCCATGGGCCCAGCTGTGCATTCCCTTACAGAACATTCTTGTCGTTATCAATAACAGATCTCATGATTTAAATGGCAGGCTAGTAAAGAGAAAAGCTATTCATAGTTTCCAGACTTGGCAGCAAAACTCCTGATATTTGCATGGAAGGAAGAAACGTGTTCATGCCTCCAGCGAGACCAAGGCTATGTGGAGGGTACAACTCTGAATGTTGCTCATGTTGGAAATAAGTTTGCACTACAGTAAATACCTATCATGAAAACAGACAAGGAAACCCTATTTACCTTTGGTACGACTCCACTAGCCAGGCAGAGCTAACCTGACTGTAGCTGCTAGCACCTGCTATCCTCACGTGCTATCCCTGTGTCCCAATCCCAGTACTTCCCGCTGCAGCAGATTACACAGGGAGGCAGTAGGGTGGCAGGCATTGGGGTAGGGAGTATGGGGGGGAAGGCAGTTGGGGAGTCAAGTGGCTTGATCTCTGCCACCCCCCAACCACCCCACAACCTCTGAGCCCCTGCTTCTCTCCCGCCTACTACCATTTACCTTTTGCTCTGGCTCCAGCATGGTTCCAGCCCGCAGGAAGAAGCACATTTACTCTAGCCCCAGCCCAGCCCAGGAGCAGTGGCGGCGCAGCACCAGCTCCAGGCCAGGCTCTGGGGTGAGCTGCTGCTGCTGCTGCCACATCAGCTATTACCAGGCAAGCATGTGTCCCAGGCTGGAGAGGGGACAGAGCCAGAGCAAAGGTAGGGGTAGAGGATGGGGTGGAGCAAACAGGGGCAAGAGGCAGCAGAGGGCATGTAACTGGGGAGGCAGCAGATGAAGCTCTGACCCGACCCCGGGTTGGAGTCAGAGCCACAGCAACCTCCTGCTCCCCCACTGCTTACTTGAATCCAAGATGAGGGGCATTCCCTACCATGTAAATGGGGGGAAAAAACTTGTCTCGGATTTGAGTAAATATGGTATTTTCTTGTTGATTAGCTTCTTTCAGGGAGCTTCTTGGATTTTGTTTGTTTTGCATGGCATTTTTAATTGATGGGGGATGGGAAGGCAGTCTTCTGCTTGCTTGAATCTTAATAAACAAACACCACTCTGTTTTCTAACAAGCTCTCATTGCCTTTTATCAGTCATAAGAATCCAACTAAAGGGCTATCTAAGGTCATTGGTATATTTCCATTATCTTCACTGGATGTTGATTGGGCATTTAAACTCAGAAATCTGGGTTAACGTATATGTGTTTCTAAAGGCAGCACTGGAAGCAATTGATGAACTAGATCTTTTTGGAGCTCATGGAGGGCACAAGTCAGTGATCCATGTCCTTCCTGATGAAGTTGAACACTGCCAGGTAAAAAGTAGCTTCCCATGTTCCTTTGATATGAGTAAGCTCAAACATACTTTTTATAAAGTACTGACAAAATAAACCCCAAACTTTAATCTGCTGATGATTTCACAAGATACAGCATGCCAGCATGTTTACAGGAGTTCACCTGATTTTTGACCAGTTCCATCTACATTCATTTTTAAAAAGCTCTCATTCAGCCAGTTCCCAGCTGTTTTTGAAAAATACTGATGTGTTCTATTTGCATCTAACATCATCATTTTGAAGAAGCCAAATTTTACATAATTATTTGTTTTCCTTTTGTGTTTCCCAGTCTATTCTATATTCCATGTTGCCAAGAGCTTCCACATCAAAGGAGATTGATGCTGGGCTTCTGTCCATTATTTCTTATCCAGCTTTTGCAGTGGAGGATGTGAACCTCGTTAATGCAACGAAAAATGAAATCATAGCCAAACTGCAAGTAAGAGCTTTCTTCTTTCTGCTTCCGGAGAGGAAGGGAACCTTTTGTTTTGCCTCTTCAGAAGTTTAATGGGTGTGGCATAGTGAGTGTGCATGTGAGAGGGAGGCATAAAAAACCCTCAAACCTAACCCTAACGTAATATAAAACCAGAAAGAAATTTGTAATAAAATGTCCACTTGGGCACCTGAAGAGCAGGTTGCACAATGATTTCAAGAATCGTTTTTCTCTCTTGTGTTTGCAGGGACGTTACGGCTGTTGTCGTTTCCTTCGTGATGGTTATAAAACACCAAAAGAGGTCCTGTAATTGCAGATTCTTCAGTTGACATTTTGAACAGTTTTTTTTAACCTAAGTTATCCCAACTTTGTGCCTGCATTTTTTTCTTTTTTTTTTTAATCTTGTTACAAATAGGAGTGTTTTGTATCATTACCAAGACTGCACAGTTAGAAAAACCATGCAGTTGTATATAGTTCATTTTGGCATACAATCCAGGAATAAACGTTACTCGACTGACAGTGAAATTTAGCTAACAGAGTGTAATGTATAGGGGGGAAAAATGAACAGCAGCAAAACCTAGATCACAATCTGATAGTAAAAGCGGATGCTATTATAATGAAATATGTTTCTAAAGTGAAACAATGTCAGATTTGGAACTGCAGACATGTCATCATATACTGTCATTGGTGAAGTGAACTGTGGTTATCTTGGTGAGACCTAGGTTTTTGCAGCTGAGCTTGGTTGATACATTTTGGGAAATGGATGAGTGTTTTTGTGAGGCAAGTATGAATGTGAGAAGGAGAGGAATGAACGTGATGTATGGTGATGCGTGGCTTGATTCTGTATTTCCTGCAGTGTACGTGCAATGTATGAAACAAATCATGTAGAATATTAATTGCATATCTTCCACAGGAAGTAAATTCAAATTTATTTGATTTCTAGGATCCAAACAGGTTACATTATGACCCGGCTGAGCTCAAGCTCTTTGAGAAAATAGAATGTGAGTGGCCAGTCTTCTGGACCTATTTCCTAATTGATGGAATCTTCAATGGGGAGAAGATTCAGGTAAGGAAAGAAGTGGCTTCAGTTATTAAATCTATTCTCATACTTGTTTTAAATGATCGTGTAAGTCCCCTGGATTACTTTATCTACTAGATCCCAAGATTGGTTGGTTAGGGACAAGTCCTTTCCCAAGTGATATGCTTGGGGACATGAGTGATTGGTGCCTTCTGAATCTCAGGGGGCACCCGCAGAAGCTGCTGATAGCAGCGGCCCTGTCGGGGCGGCAGCAGCCCTACCAGCGGTATCAGTGTCAGCCATCGTGGGGGGGAGGGGGGCACATGCACCCCCTACCAGTCGCCTATGCTTGGGGAAGTAGACTGCATATCAGATGTCCTGTGGAGTGGGGCTGAGAAGGCAGCCCTTTGGGCCATGAAGAAGTTTCTGTAACTCCAGATGCACTGCTGAGTAGGTCTGCGTAGCATGGATTCATTATCCCCACTTCTTTTCCTGTTCACACCTGTTATCTGTGGGCTTCTAGCAGGGTGGATAAAAAAATCAACAATTTTCTTAAATAAAAAATTGGATTTTTTTTTATTTAATCACATTTTTGTATTTTTTATGTTAAGATGCTTTTTAAAAAAATACCCTATATAAAAATGGTTTTAATTTAACATATTTTAAAGCTCAAAGATAGCATCATGGAATAGAGATTATAACTTTTAATAATATACTAGTTGAGACAATATATTCGTGTAATATTTTTAGAAAAGTTTTATAAATACGTCACAGCAGGCCAGTGGACTATATTACGGGCCCAATCTTATGGGGTTCTCAGAGGCTCCTCTATAGATTAGTTAAGATTACAGAACACCAGTCTACCCAGTGGGACTCAGTGCTCAGTCTAGAAGATCCCATTAAGCATCTCCGTGATGCTTAGTTTCAGTTCTCAAACTGTGGATCTGTCTCTCCAGAGATAACACACTTGTTAGAAGTATATGGACATGAGAGATAACAGACCTGATTACCTACTCATCTCTGTGAATTTGTGTACACAGAGTCAAGCCCTTACCTCTCTCTAAAAGTGCAGTTTCAAGAAGTTAAATTAATCAAGGATATCAAACAACAAGAATGCACTTTTTGTAGAAAACAATAATTAAATCGAGGCTTTCTGACTAGTGATTTTAAACCATGATTTAAATCATGAATTAAATTGATTTGTTTTAAATCAGATCCACCCTGGCTTCTAGCAGCACATTCCTCTTCCCCAACCTGTTCCTCATCTGAGAATTGGATCTGCAGAGCTGCATGCTTTGGGATTTAAGCAAGGTTGGCCCCTTGACAAAGGCTATGTTTTGGAGAAGGAATGAGCGATTTCATTATATCTCATTGCTGTTTCCAGCACTCACTGCTGAGGGCGGCAGATTTGGCAGCCCTTTAATAACTGTTCTTTTGAGGAAGTTCTGGACTGAAGTGAAAAATAGCAGCAAACCAGCCAGCTTAGAAGACAGTATTCTAGGAGTTCTAAAGAATGAAGGGGCTGAGAAAGTAATGGATGCATGATTTAAAATCATGCAGTGTGGAGAAGAGTAAAAGGGTTTCATCTATGATGCTAATTTTAAAAGAGGATGCTAGGCGTAAAGCTGGGAGTTACAAACAAAGAAGCCTTTATTTTAATACCAGTTTCATAAACTGACTGAAAGAATAATTGAGGACAGAAATGTAGAACACTGAGATGAGCATGGTATGATGGGAAAAACAGAATTGCTTCTTGAGGGGGAAAAATATGCTATTTTAAACCACGTAAATTCATTAACTAAACTATTAAATAACAAAGTAGTATTAGGAAGAGGTGAAAAAAGTACTACTGAAAGGTAGAATCTGGCTAAAAGATGGAAATCAGCGTGGTGATAATGACACCCAAGATTTCATATAAGTACCATTACTTCAGGTAGCAGTAGTCTGAAAAAAGGAGATAAGTGGTCAGGTAGCAAAATTTGCAAAAGCAAAATTATTTACATTTATTCATGATTTGGCATAAGTTATAAAGAGCATCAAGCCAGGCAAATCCAAAGTGAAGGCAGATGAAATTTTATGTTGACAAAAGCTGAACTGCTCTTTCATATTGCTCTGTTCTAAAATAACTGTCAATGATCAGGAAATAAAACTGGATGCATGTCAAGAAAATAATGATTTTTTTTTAATTCTGTACTAAGCTGTGCTCTTATTTACGGTGTCCTCTCTAATAGTACAAGAATAAGGGGATTTTCCATTAATCAGAAGAACCAATTTAAAATTGGTTAATAGAAATATTAATAATTAACATGTTGAATTTATTAACATGTAAATTGCAAATACAGGTTAATAGTTTAACTGAATTCAAAGTAGTAGGGGTGCAGCTGTCTATTTAGACATTAGCAAGTTATAAGTGATATGAACTGTTATGTGTTGAACAGGAACCAACCATTGACTTCCTCTGAGGGCAGGCTATTGTGTAAATGTCCGTTGCTGGTTTCTTCTGTAGCTGGCAGCTAGAAATAATGAGTCAATGAATTTGATCCCTTATGGCAAATCTTGTACTAGGAGGGGCCTATTGCTTAAATAGATCTTAAGAATAAATAAGACATGTTCATCTATTTTTTGTTTGTGTTTCATATTGCACTCCCCCCCTCCACACACACAGACACACACACACACTCTCTCTCTCTCTCTCTCTCTCTCTCTCCCCCCTTCACAACAATTCTGAGGTTGTGGATCTCGGATTCAGATCCAAGATCCCAATCGTTGGGACACTGGCCACAGCTAAAGCTTGAGGTTTCTGACTGAGGTGCACGAGTACTCCTGCTGGTGCTGGAAACCCAGAAGTCCCTAGCTGGAGAATCCTGCTCTTTTACTTGGGGTCATACTGATCACCAAATACAGGGTCAGGAAGGAATTGTTCCCCTAGGTAAGATTGGAATAGATTGGGGGAGGGCTTTTGCATTTGCGTGTAGTGTTGTCAGTGGTTCTCAACCTTTTTTGTACTAGGATCCATTTGTAAACATCGATGTCAGTCCTGACCCAGTAAATAGTTTAGGTAGCTAGCTTCCTGCCAGCCTGCAAGGGGAAACCCATGCTTTCCCATGTTTTTTTTCTTTTACAGGAGGAAATCTGTGATTTTTTTTCCATGTTTTTATGTAATTATTCATGACCCTTTCTATATTCTTGTGACCCACTTTTGAGTTGCAGCCCATGGGTTGAGAAACACTAATGTAGATCGTGGTCCTTTTCTTAGGATCTTCTGAGTGCATATTAACAAACTGCTTCCCTGTTGTTGAATTGACAGTGCCCTCATCTCCCTGACTTTTACATATAACATGTATAGGGTGTTACTCATGTTTCAGATATTGTTTCTTGCACTTGTAAATGCAGTCTTGAAGTGGCAGTTTTGGGGTTTCCTTTGGTTACAATAGCTGCAAACTCAGGGGGCTAGACTTGTTGGCTCAGGAGACCCCTTCTGATACTGTATTCTTAGAAAAACATGCTGTACAATATATTCTTCCTTTATTCTGCTTGCTTTTTCTTCCCCTTTTCACCCCTCTTCCCAAGAAAAATAGTAAATCCACAATAAAAGCTTCCTTCTGCTCTCCTCACCACAATTTAATGGAGATACATTGTTCATTTAAAATGTAAACTACAGCAACTCCCCTCACCCCCTGAAGTCCAGGAATGTATTCTGCATTTGAGAGACAGAAGAAATACAGAGCATATTCAGAAATAAAAAATCGTCAAATCACTTTCATGGTGCAGTAAATTAATGATCTCTCTTTTATAAAGAATCTGCTCTTTAGAATGAGGTGGTGTTTTTTTAAGACAGTTGAAAATAAATGATAACTTGCTTTAATGCTCCGCATATTCCACATAGGTTTTATATTCCAAAACCAGGTTATAAAATAGAAAAACGTTTTCTGATCCTAATTTCTAGATATCTGTTAAAAAAAGAGAGAGAGAGAGTATGCTTATGGCCCTCCTTCATGTCATGGCTGTTGGGTTAAGAAAGCCTGCTTCCCTCCTCCTTCCCCTTCTCCTCTCCCCCCCCTTCCCCCCCAGCACTAGCATATTTATTAGAAAAGATCTTAATGTTGCTTTTCTGATGTGGTATGTAAAATTAGAGTTTTTCTTTTCTTGAATGTAATATGGACTCTACCTTTGCCTCTAGGTACAAGAATACAGAGAGGCCCTTGAAGGTGTACTTATTAGAGAAAAGAATGGCATTCTTCTGGTGCCAGAGCTGTATGCTGTCCCTCCTGATAAGGTATTGCAAAAAAAAAGTTAACTGAAGTGAACTGCTCCTTTTTTGAAATGTAGCTATAAAATGACAAAGCTGTAGTTGATAAATGTAACAAGAAATATGTGTAGTAGCTTTTGTGGGTTTTTCTTTTCTTTTTTAAATAATTGAGTAATAATTCACAATTTCCAGTGAAGAAACTCTGGTACTTTGCAAGTTTCCACAACTCCAAGTGCCTGATCTGAGAATATTGAATAGTAAGGAAGAACAAAAATGTTATGGAGCACTGAGAGCAGGGAGATGTGTTAGGGCTGGTCTAAACATTTACAACTTGTTTCTACAAACAATATTTCTGCTCCCACCTCCCTGCAGATTATTTTGGTAGGGACTCCAAGAAAAAAGTCAGGGTAGGTAGATTATTTGTTAGGGAGTCCAAGAAATAAGGAGGGTAGGTTTTGCCTGCTGCTTTTTTTGCCTAGTATGCATTCTGTATAAAACCTTATACTGTAAAAATAATATATGAAGCATTTCTAGTGTTTCCTTGTACTCT